GTGTGTGTGTGTGTGTGTATATATATATATATATATATATATATATATATATATATATATATATATATATATATATATATCTTTTCCTGTGTATATATAAATTATTTATTAACATCCCTGTAATTTCTAACATTTCATTGGAAAGTCCAATGCAGCTAAATACAGTCCTAATATAACAAATGTTAAGTTGCTATTGAATATCTACTTACTTCTGAGTGAATGTTATAACAAATTTTGTTGGAACATATTTATATGATGAACTTATACAATTTTATGATGATAATATTTATATGATTTTTAGATAAAATTATTGCAATAATCTAAAAAAAATAAAAATTGAGTTTGAAATCTAATAATAATACACGATAAATATTTCAAATAAATTTGTTCAGAAGTAAAGGAAATAAATTAAGGTAAAGAATTGCACATAAATCATTGGGCTCATTTTAAATGAGAAGAAAATATTTGGTTTAACTGGCATTTTTGCCAGAATCATTAATTACAAGATAAATCGCAGTTTAAGAGATTTGATTACAAACTATAAATCAGATTTATTTTGTATTCAATGATTCTGTACAAGTGCCTAAACCATCAGTATGTAATTATACTGATTTTTATTTATACTATCTTATCTGAATTCTCAGGTAACTGTGCCAGCATAAAAAATTGAAATTGTGCTAGTAAGCGAGTTATCGACAGATGTATTTCTAAATGTGAAGTAGTATAAAACTATACATACATATATGTACTTTTATATATAATATATATAATATGTATATATTTTATAATATATATACTATGTATATATTTTATAATGTATATACTATGTATAATATATATCATATACTATATAGTATGTATAGTATGGTATACAGTGCACAAAGAAATAAATTTTTTAATTATTATTAGAAAAGAATTGTTGAAAAGTTTAGTTAAATTTTTCAACTTTCTTGTAAATCAGTTTTTTATGCAACTTGTACTTATTCATCTATCATTCGTTTTATACTTGAAAAGTATAAAAAAAAGGTATTGTTTCTAATATTTGCAATCCACTCACAATTATTTATTCCTTTAAGATATTTGTAATTTCTTTTGAAAAATAAATAGAACACAAATATAGACATTATGTTATTTCATTTTTTGTGTGTAACGAAATTGAAAATGTTTGTTACAAATTTAATGTGATTTCAGATATAAACACACACACACACACGTGCGAGCGGAAGCGTGTATGTGTGTTATATGTATTATATATATATAATGCGCATCTATATATGTGTGTGTATATGTATAAAACAAATATGAAAATGTGCGCAATGAGAAAATGAAGCATATATTTGAATAATATTGTGTGGTACATCTGAATGAATGCACTGTGCAGTTTATGCATAATTCATCTATTCTTTTTTTTCTGTTTTTAATGCCTTGTACTACTTCACGTTTCCTATATTGAATGTAATGTGTTTCATGTTGACATAAAACACTTTTAGCTGTGATGTTAACAATAGGGAATTCGTACGGAGATGCAAAACAAAAGGGGAATTAGTATATTAGAAATGAATTTCACATTATATTTATTACAATGACAATTCAGTATTATTATCAATATTTGCAGACTAAGAATTCTATTAATGGTTAACATCATTGCTAATAAAATATGAAAAAAAAAAGTAAAACTGCACACATTTACAAAAGAATCGCAACGAGGCACAAATTTTGAAAAGGGACAGTAAATAACTTCGTGCTCTAATCTAAGATTTCATAATGCAAGTATATGCGCGTGTGGAAAATACTGAAGAAAATCATGAAAAAAGGGATGATAAAAAAGCATAGTTATCGAATGAAAAATTATAACGATAATATTATCATTGCTACCAATACTGCTGTTAGTGCTATTACTATTACTATTACTACAACTATCATTACCGCTATCACTATAACTATTACTACACTACAGCTACTATCATTATTAATATAAATTGTCCTTGTAATTTTTATATGCTAAGTGTATTTAATAGGATATATGAAAAAGTATGGGAAATGAAACAGAGTAAATGTAACATAACAGCCCTGCTTGTATAAGAGGGCACAAACTATGTTAACTGAACTATAAATTATAAATATTGTATAAGACGATAAATAATAATTATTATTATCATTATTATAATTATTATTAATTGAATTAGAAAATTGTAATCTACCCATCAACAACCACTTTTGAATAAGGGAGATTTAAGTCTGTAATTCGTGTATAACAAAAATCAAGCTGTATAATGTTGTTGTTATTGCTGTTGTTTGTTTTATTATCCTTAATCTCATTATTTAGGAGAAAAATGTTTTTTTGGAAAAAGAGAATAAAATTAAATTTGATATTTACAGAAAAAGAATAATAAAGGAATTTAAACATTCTAAGAGATATTTATTACATCTTATTTATTACATATTCTATCGAAGTTACAATATAAAATATTTCTTATATTAATCTGAAATCGAAGTGTTTTTCGCGTATCGCAATGTGTATAATATAACCCCAAAATGTAAAGTATGTTGTTATTTTTAAGAGTATTGTATTTTGTATCACTTTTGATTAGTTTTGCACAAAATATCGTTGCAAATGAATTTTGTAATTTAGATGAGTATGAAGAAACTACCAAGAAATGCAACGTTCCCAAGAAATGTTATTCGCAAAATCGGTTAGAATTTACTTCTGTATTGTGTATATATCACGTTAAAATTAACATATTTTTACATAAATAATGATTTTCTAGTTATATACTCTATGATGTTAATCCTGCAGAAGGATTTAATTTAAGAAGAGATGTTTATATTCGCACTGCAGTTTTTGTAAAAAATATAATCAAACAAGAAAAAAGTGTTAAATGGCATTTAGTTTTGCCACCATGGGGTAATTTTATAATGCACAAATAGTTCTTTGTTCATTTTACTTTTTATTTTTGTTTTTTCTTATTCTATTTTTACAGGTAATTTATATCATTGGCGTAGTAAACACATAGGATTTCAAACTCAATTATCTTGGAGTTTGTTCTTTGATATTCCAAGTTTGCAAAAATATATACCAGTTATTGAAATGTATCAGTTTCTACAAGGTATAAAATTTCATTTATTGTTAATGATAGAATCGATAGAAAATTGATTTTTTCAGAATATCCTTCAGAAAATAATGAAACACATCTTGATGTTGTATATGTCTTACAAAATGATGAGGAAATGTTCAGAACGGGTAAATTTGAAGACAAAAATGAGATAATAAAATGTAATGATAAAACATTACAATTTCATAAACTAGAATCTGAAAAATACAGTGGATATTTTTGGGGATATCATAATATAACTTCCAAATCTATTAAGTGCGTTAAATTTCATGGTACAATGTCTGGTCTTAAACAAAATCTTAAATCTAATGCTTATGGGTAAGAAAATGTGTAATTTGTTTAATAATGTTTAAATTTTATGTGCAATATTTTGTTTCACTAATTATTAATGCAATTATTATGGTAGATCTATAATGTTTGATCACATGGAAATTCCATTACATGACTTCTACGGCACAATAGAATATTGGAAAGCTAGACGTAGTATGCGATATAACTCTGAATTATATAATATTGCTAGTGAATATAGAAAAAGTTTCCTTAATTCAACAAATGAACATGATAAGACTGAACGACCAGATGATTGGACTAAAGAAAAAGTATTTAATTTTGCTTGAGTTGATAAAAAGATTTAAATGATGAAAGATAATTTTTTAATTGCAGGGCAGAAGAAATGCAATTGGAGGACCTTATTTATCAGTCCATTTAAGAAGACATGATTTTTTAATTGGTCGCTCTTCAACAGTGCCAACAATAGTGTCTGCTGCTTTTCAATTAAAAAATAAGTTAGACAAACTTGGATTAAAATTTCTGTTTGTTGCTACAGATGCAACACAAGAAGGTAAATTATCCTTAAATATCCTTAAAGGATTAATAAATAATATGTCTATTGATCCTATTGCTATCAATTTGTTTAGAATTTAGTGAACTTGAACGATATTTGTCTGATTATACGGTACTTAAGTTTATTCCATCAGACTATGTATTAAATAAATTTAAAGATGGTGGGGTTGCAATTATTGACCAAATAATTAGTTCTTATGCCAGGTAAAAACTTTGTTTATCTATTTACTTCATTTATTTTATTTCTTATGTTATGAAAGAAATAATGCATAATTTGTAGGTATTTTATAGGAACACAAGAATCAACATTTACATTTAGAATACAAGAAGACAGAGAAATCATTGGTTTTCCCACTAAAACAACATTTAATTATTTATGTAAAAATACTGAGAAATGTAACACTAATGGACAATGGAAAATTGTTTGGTAACATAAAAATATGTATGTATAAATTATATGTACGTATATATTAGACAATAAAGTCAATTAATTTTAGATATACATTTTATCTTGATGTGTGTATAAGTACAATCTGTTTTTATATGTATCTTTTATGTATCTTTATTGATATTAATTATTTTCCTATATAATTATTTTCCTTAACTTATTGCTGGCTTGCCAATTAATTCTTGTTCCCGACGAAGTTCTTGTTCTCGTTGTTGTTCCTTATTCAAGGCCTCTTTCTGTACTATTTGCTGCAACTTTGATGCTCGTTTCTATACAAAGATAATTTATATATTATATAAACAATAGTGAATTGAAAATACATGTAGTGTAGAAAAATTATAACTCACTTTTAATCTGAATGTTCTTTCATGAATGGAAACCATTTCTTTTTTCATTAATATTAATTTACCTTGACTAACTTTAATCATTTGAAACTGTAATACATATTCCCTTTATGTATTTTATATTTGAGACCATTCTTCTACATTAGAAATTTCTGTAAAATCAAATTTATATTTTAATATCAACACTTACCATCTCATTTAATTTAACATCATTAAAAACATCTTGGACTTTTTTATTCTCAATTTGCATCTGACTGAGCAAAATTTCTTGTTTGCTTCTAAACAAAAACGGTATAAAATATAAAATCAGGAAATTCTTATGTGCTGCTATAACTTTTCACTCACTTTACTTCATTTAGCTTTTTCCCACTTTGCTCCCACTGTTCTTGATATTGTTTTAAGAATCCTTCGGTTAATTTCTCTATAGCTACTTTGAAGTCAATTTCATCTTCCTCGCTGTAAAATTTTGAAAAAAATTTAAATATCTGGATATCATTTGCCACAGTTATGAATAGTTATCCAAAAATTGATTATATATAATTATAACACTTGATTACGATTATTTACAAACATGATTGTAAAGTAAATAAATAATAAGAAACATAAAGAATTACTTGTTGTGTTTCTCAATTTGTGATTGAAGTTCTCTTGCTTCTGCCTCTTCCATATTTGTCATCATTTTCTATTCCTAATATTGTTACTGATAATTATCCAACAAATTACAGTATTTGGAAATTTAACGTAAACAATAACATTAACTATGAGTTTGACATTTGTCAGATCAACAACAATTCGAAATGAACGTGAATCGTGGCAATAATAACTGCACGTAGCTTCAGCATTGACGCTTATCTTTCTAATATATGTTTGCTTCATGCTCTTGATGCAACTTGAACATAACCAAGAAAAAAGTTGTAGGGAAAAAATATTTACTGTTTATGAAGTGGAATGATATATTTTTGAAACATAATGAGAAGTCGGATAAACACTTTTAGTTGAGATGGAGCACCTTCCAAATAGAGAATATATTATGGTAGCTCCTGGAATAAACACTGTAGCGGTGCTTCTAAATATAGGATTTATTTTTAGGTTGGAGCTAGCCATAGTTTGAATCAAGAATTTGATCTAAAACTGCATTTCTAGACGGTTTTGTAATAGGTGTGAAAGATGTTTATTTTTGAATGACATCTTTAGTCTTGCTTTTATTTTTTATTAATCTTCTATTTGTATTTAATTTTGTGCAATATTACTTAAGTATCAAATGCTTAAATATTTTACATTGGACATGTAAATATTATTATTTTTTTTAATGTTTTGTTCGTGTAAAATAGTTTAGACAATTCTGAACATATAGAAAATACAAGTAAACTGCATATTTTGTTGCAGTGATAAAAATGGCAAATGACTTAATAATAAGAGGTAAAGATAGATTACAAGAAATTAGCATTAAACTAGAGCAAAGCCATTTGGTTTATTTACAAACAGATGACAGCCCTTTAAAATTGCAACAGCGTCGTAAACTTGAAGGTAAATATATGTGCAATAATATGCGACATTTAATTTTTAATAACTTCCTCTATTCTAGGTTTTATTAAAGAATATCTCTGTCTTGTTCCAAATGAAAACAAATATGTATTTCAAGAAACTGCAGATATATTGCATAGATCAGCAGCTACATTGCAAGATTTTAGTGGATATAGAGCCGCAACTGCCTGGAGTGCTATTTCATTGTATGCTGCCAATCTTTTGGCTCAACCTTGGAGAAGAGAATATAGAACGTTAAAGGTTAAGATTTTTGTAATCCTTAACGTAATTTTTTTAAACTGTAAAATATTCAGTTAATTTTCTTTTATATTAGACTTATAGCGGATATTATAAGCACGAGGTAGAAGCAAATTTAATAGGAGCAGAATTAATGTTTGAACAAATGGGATACAAACATACAGGGTTAGGAGTGCTCACTTTAGAGGGTCCTATTGACCCTGATAAAGTATCTAGTGTAAGCAGAGATGCAATAGTTGCTTTTGTTGAATGTCAGGTAATAATATTTATAATGACACTTCAAAGCTTAATAATAGCACAGTACATAGGCACTACCAAACCAGTGTCAATGTATTCACATTCGTTTTTTTTTTCTATTATTTTTATCTTTATCACACATTCCTTTGAGTATCGTATATTATGTCGATGCATTGTCGTTGCTGATGTAGTACTGTTATTGTATTATAATATTGTTACGTTAAATGCGCGATAATTCAACGCGGAGATAACTGACCGTCGTTGAATTGATACTGTGCTATTAAGTGGGCGACAATCTTTATAATACTTTCCTACAAAGATATGTAAATAAAAAAGTTCCAATTTTAAACGTAGATCTTGAAGCAAATATGGGAGAATGTTTCGCAGAATTATAGTATCTCATGGTTAGAAGTATTAGAGTTTCGAGAAAATCATGTTGGCACGCCAGAGCAAGCAATCAGAGCATTAAACTATCGTTTTCTTGAGAAAATGCATCAAACTCGAACAAAAGCGGAGAATTACAGAGATTATCACTACCCGCAAACTGCATGTATAGATGCAGTATCACCGTCGATTCCTTATCACATTATGCCTCCTAGTTATAATATGTCAATGCCTGTTTGTCAATCAGAATACAGATATATCGAAGATACAAATTCGATACCTGGAACTTATAAATACTTTCAACCAGTAGATCACGGCTTTGGAAATCGATGTAGTGCCTATGGATGTTTACCACATGGTAATAAATATTTGAGCGGAGTCAATCCTTATTATACCACAATGCCAGGATACACAAGAGTACCGACGGGTAGATTAATTGAACTTGACATGCCGGTTTCGGTTGCGAATTATGACAAACTGCACAATCGGAAGATGTCTCATCGAATATCAGACTTGGACGAAGTAGATTTTTATAAAAGACATTCTAGCGATGGAAATCATTATGATTATGGAAGAATCGATAAAAAATCGGGACGATCAATCGATGAAAGAAATAATTATGATTCTTGGGACTTTGTGTATAAAAATTTAGAAACTTTAGGCTATTCTAAAGATCTTGGTAATCGAGAAGATATTTTATACAAACGAGAGTGTGATTCCCGATTGAGTAAACAAAAATCTTTTAAACAAAATGATAACGACGAAAAACATGGTGTACATGGCTTTGAAAAAAGAAAAAGCGGAAGAACCGATGTGAACGAGATCGATTCGTCTATGACAAATGGTCGGCATCATTATCACGATACGTTACCTTTTAAAAAGAAGTCTTCTTCTTTTGACTTAATGGATTCGAATAGATATCATGATGCATCTTCAGAAAGTCATTTATCTTCTCATAATAAAGAAAAAAAATGTAGTCAGACGCTTCCAATTCAACGTTCTCATCGATCGGTGGATCAAATTGTAAAAATTGTGGATACATTAAAAAATTTAGAACTTTCTCATTCAGAAAAAGAAAATGAAATAGAAGAAGATGGAGAAAAGAATTGGAATTGTGCTACTTGCACCTATCTTAATTCTTCATCAAAAGAAATTTGTGAGATGTGTGGAAAGTCCAGGCACAAAGGAAATGAAGATAAACCATTAGCAAGTGGTGGAAAAGAATGTCCACAATGTACATTAGTAAATGAGAAAAATGTCTCAGTCTGTGATGCTTGTGGTATCAGTTTAAAAGATTCACCTACCTATATTTAGATACCTATATTTAATTGTTTGGAAGAAAAATTGCATTGTTTTGTATATGTTTGAAATTAAAAAATGAAAATAGTAAATACATTTTCTGGATGTTAGATATTGTCCTAATAAGAATATTTGAAATGTTTGAAAAAAATGTTAGTACTTATAATACTGAAACTAGCTGATATAAGTGGTAACAATTTTTTTTGATTGCTTTAGAAAACAAATTTTAAAGAGTATTATTATATTAATGGAACTTAGAATTTCTTAAATCGTATAATGAGAGAGAGGATATAAAAAATTATTTATAAATGACATATAAAATTATTTATTTAAAATTGTTTGAGTAGATTTGTGATATGGGTACATTAATATTATGATAATACTGCAGTGGCCTACCATTTGTTTGGAAAAAAGTAAAAATGTACACATGTAAGTACCTCTTTCCGTCGATTCAATTTAAGCAAAGATTTATTGTTTTGAATGCTTTTTCTCATTTACTATATAAAATTTCTTTGTAATTTTCTACGAAATTTTATATGTACAATTAAATTACTTTTACTAAAATTTAATTATTCATTTGGCTTGATATTTAATATTAAAAATTAAACTAGTAAAGAATTTTATTAATATTATCAATAACATTTGATAGCCTAAATAGTTTAATACAGAAAGTTATACGAATTATTTATTCTATAGCATGTATATGTATTATATTCATAATAGAAACTTGTATTTTAACAAAAAAAATTATATGTTGAATATATTGGAATGTTATTTAAAAAAGAAATATTAATGTGTATTGTACAATACATATGTACATACACAGATCATATGCAGCATTAAATTTAATATATATATATACATTTAATTCATTGTTTTTTATTAATTTTTATTTAATTTGATACAACAAAAATAAGAATATTGTTAAATGTAATTATAAAAGTTTCTTTTTATTGTGAAGTATTTTGAGAAAAGTATTACTAACGATATTTTATTTTATAACGATAACATTACAAATGCGAATATGAAAGAAAAACAGTTACATGTTGTAAAATTATAATACTTGTGTACCTCTGGAAAACAAGTGCAAATTAAATAATAATTAATAGATTGAACAATATGCAGATTAATAAATATATAATTTGAATCTATGTATCTTGTTAATACTTCAATTACTGTTAATTACATACTTCAATTTAAAAATTATATTGTGCAATTGTTAATTTTATACTAAAATTTATTTCTCCTAGTTTGATATTTATTTATACATTCCCAGTTCACTATTGTTACTCGTGAAATATTAAATATACATCTTTGGGGTAAATTTTATTTGTATCTTATTTAAAGCATTACAAATTTATTTTAATTCATATATATTATAATCTTTATATATCAGTTAATGTATGATAAATTGAGTGCTCCTTCATTGCATGTAATGGTGTTGTAGTTTTATTTAACATTAAATTAGTTCATAAAATTTTGTTTTCAAAATTTTTATTTGTTAAACTTATTACAGATATACAAATAAAAAATAAAGATAAAAGTAATTATTGCAAGATAATGTTTTAAAAGTTTTAATGTTAATTTATAATTTTCTTATTTTTAGTTATAAACAATTTAACAGAAATTATAGACTAATGAAAGAAATACCTTATTATCTTGAAAATATTTTTTAATATAAATTGTAAAATTTATAATAGAACAACAAACTTTATAATATTATATTTCGATAAAAAAAGTATTCTCTTTCTACTTCTGATATATAGACTGTTTGAATGTAAAAATGAGTACTAAAGTCTACTTTTAACATTTATGAAAGTCTGATATTTTAATGGGGAAATAAGAGAAAACAACTAATATTTTTTCATTGAATGCATATAAAAGAAATAAGTAAACGATTAATATAAAAAAGATAGATGTATGTCTGATAATAGTTATTGTAATATATTGCAAGCTATGCATACATTGTAATATATTCTATTATGTACAAATAATAAATAATATTTAATATAGATTATATGTATATTATATAGATTATATGTATTTAGAAAATATGTATTTTATTTTTTAGCACTAAAATGTTAAAGGTATGTAATATTTATATTATTCATGTATAAAAGTTTAATATTAAAAGAGATATAAATATTGGTTATTTATTTATAACAAAAACATACTATTTTAGATAAACATGTTTAATGGGTATTTTTCATACATTTGTCTAACATCTTCAAAGCAGCATGGTGAATCTTTGGGTCTAATTTATCTGTAAATCACAATAAAAATTATAAAAATTAGTCGTAACAAAAAATATATAATAATATAATTAAAACTGAAGAAATATTTACAAATTTTATGTTTTCCCTGTATTGGAAATTTAATTGGCAACATAAAAAAATTTTCACATATGAAAACATAAGGACTATCATTTTCTCCATCTGGATAAGATTTTTTATATTCTTCTTGTGTTAAAACATCAACAACAGTTACACATCCTAATAGGCAACCAGTTGAATAAATTTCCGGAAACATTAATTTTTCTGAAAAATATATTCGTGATAATAAGCGTAATATATATTGTAATACGATTAATAAAAAGAAAGCTCATTTTATATCTTTTTTATTCATAAATTCAATTTATACTAACCATTTTTTAAAAGACGATAACACTGTTCTACATTTGAAATTTCTTCCTTAGTTGGTATTTTTGATGTTGCAGCAATCCATAATCTTCCTCTATGTGATGAATACCATGTACGACCTTCGTGACTATAATGGTAATAATGGTAATGTTAAAAAATAGTACACTAGATATTTATTTAAAAATACTATTTAAAAAATTATAATCTTACACTTTTATTCCAGCCACTAATAAAGATGCATAAGGCTGATGCATACTCAAACATAAACCAGGATCAGACATTTCTAAATATTCTTTGTCTTGAATAATATTTCTTGTGTTAAAAGTGATCGCTTTGGTTCGTGGTTGCAATTCATTTGACTCTATATACTATCAATAAAAATTTGATATTATGTTTTTTTACATATAATAATAGTATGAATATGTTTAATAATCTATTAATGATATTTATACCATTGGGCGATTAAATTCTATATGTGGGCAAATATTATTACTTTCTATTTCACTAAATGATTCAGATATATCTTGCAAATATTCTTCACTGAACTTTTCAAAATTTTCTGTCGTATTCTCTTCAATTACTTCTCTACCTGTGAAATCAATAGTAGCGTAAATTTTTCTGTTTAAACGCGACATATGCTTTCTTTCATGTATTTCTTCTTCTAATTTTTTTGACTTTTCTCGTTGTTTATCTGTTAACCATGTACTATTTGATTGATAATAGTCACATTCATCGTCAATTACTTTTGTGCACTGTATTCTGTAAATTAATAATAATTATACTTATTTTAAATTAGTATAATTATGAATATTTTACTTATATATTTGATATAAAAATATTATACAAGAAGACATATAATGCATACCCATTGCGATCATAGTCCAAAAGTTTATCTCTCTGTTTTATTGATTCTTCTAGATTCTTATTAGTTTTTTGATTTATTAATTTATTGTATAACTGATCACCTTGTTTTGTATTACTAGAAAGAATGGTTTGTTCTTCTTGAGAACATACAAGTTCTTTACAAAAAAAGCAAGGACCAGCTCCTTCTTGAGCACAGACTATTCTACCACAGTTAAGACAATTATTGATTAGTGGATGTTCTTTTGTTTCGCAATTACATTTGTATCTACCTAATAAAATATTTTTATATTAATTTTAATATTAAAATCTTTTAATAATTTATCTTTTAGTTAATGTTTTAGTACAGTACCTTTTAACAAAATGCCACTTTCAGAAGATATATTAACAAACTTAGGTTTCTTTTTTTCTGACTTATCTATTTTTATAACTTCTTGTGTCTAAATAAATAACATCTAACTTAATACAGCATTATAAATCTGAAATAAAAAATTCAAACATTACGTTGATAGATACCTGTTTATTTTCTTTGCTCTCTTTTCCTTTTACTTTTCCTTTTTTTTTCTCATTTTGCTTTCTCTTTCCATTATCCACATCATTTTCTTTTTTATATTTACTCTGATCTTTACTTAAAGCTGAAACATTTCAAAATGAAAAGCATTGAATAGCTTAATAATTAACACAAATGATAAAAATATAAACCTTGTCGTTTTTTCAATTCTGAAATAAACTGCCTGTGTTTTCCATTAGTATAATCTAAAAGAGATAGCAAATAGTCATCCAAGTCCCTTTCGTTTTCCATTTTCATTATGACTCTGAAACAAATACATTGTATGATATTATCATTATCAGGGAATATCATCAAGGAATATTATCATTATTTACATCCAGGAAACATTTCATTTTGTTGTAATTTTCTTACTTTGCGAATTCTGTTGATACTGGGAAATCAAAAATTTCGGATAAATTTTCGTGTATCCACTTCTCCATCTTTGCAAAATGATTAAAACAATATTGTAAAAATATTAGACTCAGGCTCTCATGTGTCAAGATCATGTGAGGTTAACATTTGAAATTAGATGCATTTGAGATTAAGATTTAAAATTTCTTTCAGATTCATTATGTTGACCACACTGATTCATTCAATAATATTCGAAAAAATTATAAAAAGCAAAAAAGGTAAAATTGCAGAGAAAAAGTCATCTGCTATAATTTTGTACGAGATTCTAATAAAGAATGAAGTTTTGTTATAAATTTATTTTAATTTATTTTGTTATTTCGGCGAAAATAAGTCGAATTCACAGCAAATTGACAAAATATTTTTCGTTTGGGACTCAATAATTAAGATTTTCAGACTGGAAAGTAATACTCTTAAAGATTGTTCCAATTTCATTAACTATTAAATTAACATAAAATAATTGATTCCAACATTAAGTATCGATTGAAATCTCATAAATTCTTCTTTTTCGTATATTTTCCTTTCCTATGTTAACAAATGTGTAGTAGTTTTTTAATTAAAGCTCGGTATTGAACTACAGTGGCATCTACAGGTAGCTTTTATACTTAATTTTAAACTTCAATGTAATTATTTTCGAAAAAGCTTTATTATTTCAAGTTTTCATGTAAGAGAAGACTTGAAATCAGAGAAATAAATGAAATTATATTCTACATGATATATTCATCATCTTAATTTGAAATTAGGAAATGCGCAAGTTGCCTTCCCTCTAGGTGCTACAGAACTTAAAAACTTTGCGTAGGTTAGCGCAAGGCCTTTGGAACGTTTAACAAATGGATCTTCCTGCAGTTAAATTTGCATAGCCAGTCGCGCATACGTCGATATAGTCACGTATTCGTGCATGCACGAATGAGTTGAGTGTCAATTTCTACCGGTGTTACGTAACAATTACTTCTTCACCACGACTGATATCATCGTGTTTCACGCATCTATTAAAATTCCTCCAAGTGTTGGTATTTTTATTGGATTATGTTGTACGATGTAATTGTTTAATTACGATATAATTACACAAAAGAAGTAAATCCTATACAAAGGAAATTCTTTAGAACGATACCAGTTTCTATAATTTTCAGAAATTTTGTATCTGAGTAATTAATAATTCATTACTGTCTAAATAGTTAATCGAAAGAAATTAAATTAAGAAATTCAAGTAACAACAAGTATAAGAGTAGAGAGGCATTCAATTACAGTTACTAGAATATTCTTCTTTCGAGGTTATTAAAGGAGATAGTCTTAAAATTTCATTAAAAATTCCATTTGAAAGATTCAGATTTTTCTTTTCCTATAAGCGTCTTGATTGTTTATTATATTTTTCAAATTATGGTGTATTTCAATTATAGGCAGAAAGTAACATAGAAATGCATGATTAAATCGAATTAAACTAACGATTCGATTAATATCGAATTTCTCGAAAAGTTTGAAACTTACAATGAATAATTCTGTTTCTCATTATAAAAATAATAATTGTTATAAAAATAAAATATAACATTTATCTTATAATATATATCTAAATATAATATCTTCTCGAAGTTTGAGTATCATCCTGTTTCTTTTATTTTCCACGATCATTTTACAGAATCGTTCGAAATGTAAATAACAATAGCAATTTAGTACAGCTGCGTACACTGGAGTCAAGACAATGGAAATAGGTCGCACCGCGAATTGTTCTATTAAGATGGATCACGACACATTGTAATTCGATTTCAACGAGGATGCATTAAAAACATTCGTTATATATCTACGCCGAAGAGATAGAAAAATATATCAAGACGCTCTTCAGCAATCTAGCAAGTTACTAATTAAAAGTAAAAAAAGAACTTATGAAAAACATACAACAATGCTTTTCTCTATAAAATGTGAAACTATTGACAAATAAATAACATACATTGCGAGTATCAATTGGTTATTCGAGTCGCGTTATTAGGTCGATTAGTCTGTTAGATGATAAAAGGTTTCTGTACAATGAACTTTCTATATCGTTCCGCATCGGGATCATTTGATAATTATTTTCAATCGTCGGTTTTATTTGGTTGGATGGCTGTTGAAAGGCGTCTTCATTATTCACACGTACAATGCATGGATTATACTGTAATAAAGTCTGAATTCAGACAGATTCACGGTTCTATCTTACGATACTAAAAAAAGTATCCGTTATTTAATATTTGCATTATTATTAAATTGACAGTGAGAAATATTCGCATCACTGTCAAGTCAAGAATAAGATTATATGACCTGATTGACTTTAATATAAAAGCTTGTAAAAGTTTTACAAGTGTTACTTTTTAATAGATGATTTTATTGTGAAAAAGTATTTTCTTGCTATTATTTATCTACAGTCGTATCATTGTAAATATTACGTCAAAGCAAACTGTTTCTCGATAACATGTATCTTATCACGTTGATTCGATACCATTGATGGAGAATTTAATCGAGATAGAGTGTAAAATAAAGATAGTGTTTCCGAAATCCTTTAAGCTTTAAATTTTAAATTTTGATAGGACAAAGAACTTTGTTTGACATGTTCATATTTGACATATTTATATTTTTGTCCCAGTAAATTGGCCGCTAAAAATGATGGTAACAAAACGTTGTTGCTTTGTTTAAATAAAATATAGTTTCTTGAAGATTTGGACAATTATCCAAAAAAAGATGGGAGATTTTGAAATATTTCATGCTACTGTTGTTACGTAACTGCAAAGAGCTTCTCTTTTACAAGAATTCCTTTTTATCTTTTTATTATTAACGATACAATCTTATTATTATGTCAAAGAAACAGCGTCACAACGTTATTGTCAGCGATGAAAATATATGCAAATATATATATATATATATTCATATATGAATCACTCAACGAGACGCGACATCACATATATTTCAATATACTTTCCTTTTTTTTTATTTGCTGATTGAGAAAGGTTAGTTCAATCCTTGTCTTCTATTTTTACTAAAGTAAAAAAGAAATTTTTGCTGTAATTTAATATTATAGTAAATTTTTCGATTTCAAACTAAAATTTCAGCTAAAATTAATTTGCATATTTTATTTAAATAATGCAGTTGCTTGATTAAAAAATGTGCATGTATAGAATAAGGCAATATTTCTGATCATTTTGAATATTTTCGTTGTTTTTGGATATATGTAACAAGTTATTCAGTTAACAAAAGTTGTTCAGTATAAAGGAGACCATAATATGATAATAATAATCTTTTTGGTGGAGTTTCAGAGATCTCAAGGTCTTTTTTAAATTATTTACTAAGTTTTTTGGTACTATTGTGCATTTAGGTAATTTCAATGATCTATTTTTGAAAATCATTCGATCGATCATAAATGAAAGAGTAAGCAAATGTCGTTGTAATATTCGAAATGATGTCCATTTGCATCAATGTAATATCGAAATCGTCAGATACGTCGAAGTACTGAACAATTTTTGTTAACGAAATTTTCTCATATTTGTAAAAACAATAGAGATATTCAAGGTCATCAGAGATATTGTTCTATTCTGTATTTGTATAATATAATTTCATTAGGAAAACTCTATTCCATTATTTAATCAATTTCTCCAAAAAGAAAATTAGAATTAATTTAACTTGGATTTTTTTATATCACAATTTTTTGTGAAGATTCTATTAATGTTTACGTACACCGTGAATATAGTATACTGGTAATACATACATTCAATTACCATTAGTCAGCATTAATCAACAACGATCTTCCTTAACACGAAACAATTTTGTTATACAATCTCTTCTGCAGCAGTGGGAAATTCAAAACAAATTTTCAATTTTATGGAATTTGTAAAATTATTCCACGGAATCTCTGTTCTTTATTAAAAAGAATATATGAAATTTTTTAACTCGTATATATCGTTTCAATTAATTCTATGATATGATATTAAACCGAATAAGATTGCATTTGTAAAATTACATTTAAATTAATTACATTTAAATTAGCCGCGAATATATTGGCCAATGGCGCACTTAAGATGCACGATCAGGAACACGCGCGAAGTTTGCTTTACGATTCGAAAGTGCGCGAAGTTTGTCGAACAACTCCGATCGCGTTGTAGTTCGTCACAGTCGCCCGGCGAATTCTGACATGGTATGATGGTTTCGTGTTTCTTGTAAAATGTGCTGTACGCTGTTGGGTGTTGTTTGTGTATTATTATTTTAATTATACAAATCAGTGTCCAGAAAAACAGTGCGTACTAGCTCCAATAAATTTGGATTAGTTGGATCGAAACTGAATAAAAAATAAAATTTTCATATCTGTTTCATTTCAACACCTAGTCATCTGAACTCACTTACGTAAGTCTTAGAACTCGTATCTTAAGTAGCCTATACGTATAATAATTCTTACATTTCTTATCTTGGTTTATATCTTATATTGTTCGGAAATGCTTTTTTTTATTGTCTGCAAAAATTCAAGCAACAAGTATTGACGATTGAAATATGACTTAGGTGCTGTGCTATAGTTTGATATTTCATTCAAACTGTTTTTAATAATTCAAGATCTGATCTACGTTCGATGTGATAGCTCGTGTAATCTACTATCTATAGCTAGTGTAAAGAACCTGATTGCCGCCTTAATATTTCTCCAAATGATTACGTTTCGCGATAAAACTTTTTATCATAACTTCGCCTGTTAATCTTCGTATGTAAATTTTCATATTCTGATTCTACAAACTGCAGACATTATCGAATGTCATAAAGATAACGAGAGAAATTTTTTTTTCAGAAAGACATAACGAGATTACGAATTACTATACATGTAGTAAGATTTATTTTAGCGAAGCTTTGTTCCATCCTTTTATAACTGTTTGATTTTTATCCGTAAATTATAATAATGGTAATAACAATAATAATGATAATGATGATGATGAATATAATCAAAAAAATTTGTAATAGTGACGAATATTGTAAGATTGATTATTAATATAAAGTCTTAATTATTATTATTTTTTTTCTTGTTATGCATGCTTGATATATGACTTATGCACGATTATTTCGAGCTATAATTCACTGACCTATATGATGCATATAATTTAACTGACCAGGTTTCGGGTTCCGTTGATCTTACGACCTTTTTATTCGAACGATCGATTTCTATCATATTTGCACCGTTCAGTAAGCGTTATATTTATACTGATGATCACTCGTATTTTTTCCTGATTACTACTATTAACCGGAAGCACACGTAATATAAACATTTAAAAGTTAATTACAGTGGCTAGTAAATGTTTTTTTTTTTTCTTTTTTGAGCGTACTTTTTCTTAGCTAATCCTTAGTTAGTATTGCGTTAAGTTGAAAATTTAAGCAAAAAGTTATATCTCAAAGGTCAATTCTTATCTATTTTTATGATGCAGCGTTTCATTAATTTTCATTAATTTCAATATTTTTACATCGGTAAATGAGGACTTTGAAGAACGTATTGTTCTTATATTGCAAAATTCGTTCATAAGTATAACATTATCAATTAAAGTTAGAGAAATGTTTATAAAAGTACAAAATTTTTACTTTAGGAATAAGAAATTCCTAAGTTCCAATTTTTATCTGTATAAGATATTTCAAAGGAGTATTATACCAATTTTGAAAATTATTGCGAACTAATCTTATGAAACGGTACAGTATTATGAAAAAATTATTCAAATAACTGAAAGAATGATTAATATTACGTAATATAATACCAAATAAGCGGCTCGCAGTTAACAATTTTTATTTTTTATAATATGAAAATAATGACTTTTAAAAAGTTATTATTCATACAAAATTGTTTTTTGTCTTTTACAAAGTCAGTAATACTATTTTTATTTTTGTTGATAAAGAATTACAAAAGGATATCTTCAGTAGAATACTAAGTACGTATATTTAATTATATATAATAATCATAAAAGTTAGTACTAATCGTGAAAAATTACTGAAAAATAAATTAGAAATTTATAGAAATAATTAGAAATTAGAAATAACTTCTTCATGTTTTCTTCTTCATAATTTTAACACTCAAAAGAAATATTTTTATTGCTTTAAAATGATTTGTTGTGAAATATAAAAAATTATGTCATAAAAATGCGAATTAATTTTTTCTTAATTTTTACATTTGAAATATTTTTATTATTTTGAAATAATTCGTCAAGTATCATAATTCACTGAAAGACAACTTGTTCCTCGAAATTCTCTTCTTTCCTTTTTCTTCAGTTTTACAGTATTTTCGTGCTCACCAGTAATTATGGAAGTATCGATTGGCACTTTCGTGCTTTACCTGAAAGGTGGAATCGTAAAATCTCTACGGGCTATACTATTCTTAAACATGTTCCTTGCTTTATTTCGTGGCAATCGGTGTCACGAGCTCGAGTCACGGATGCCAGAGATTCTCAATTATCAATAAACTTTTGTTATTACTATAAAATTATTCAATTTTTTGAACGAAGAATGAGAAACAAAAATAATGTGAATTTTCTAAAATTATTATTTAATTTATGAAGAGAATAATTACAAAAAAAGGATCAAAAAGTTAGAATGTTTTTAAAGAAAAATAATAAGGAGAAACTTCAATTCAAGAACACTAAAAGTTTGATTGCTTGGGAAATGGGAACCTTGCTCAGATGTAAAAATAGAAACTTCATAGTTCTGCTTGAAGGAGGTCATGAACAGTGTTTAGAATGTCCAAACAATTCTCTAAAAAATGTATTCCATTGCGTGAAGCAGCTTATATTCGTAAATGAAATATGCAAGTCCCTTTTAGTGTAATGTAAAGATATGAAAAAGCATTCAAGCGTACAAGGTTTTGAACAAAAATAGAAGTTCAATTTCATAAGGTATGAAGATAAGTTTTTCTTGTTTTAAAAAAATCAGTTTTTCTTACTCAGTACTCAAAGTTGTTATCTTTGTGTTAATTTTTTTTTATCTTATTTAAATATATGGCACAGATTAATGTTGTAATTATGTCAAAGAAAATTTAAAGATGAAACATAGAATAGATACTACTTGGATTTAGATGTAGATATTTAGATATATACATATATATACAAAAATCGCTAGAGCGATCAGTTTTCTTTAGAGAGTGCAATTTCTCCTAATAGATTTTCATGATAACAATTTGTATAAATCATATAATCGTACGAGATGAAGAGATGGAGATTTTTCTAGCTCTATTAATGGTTATATCTGACAGGTTAATTTGCGATCATTTCAAGAGTTCCCTCGTTTTAAACGAAAGGACAATTTGAACAAAGTCAAGTTAATTTGCGACTAATTTGCATCGAATCTTAATGCCAGTTGATTTTACGCTCTCATTCTAAACTTTCCGCTATATAAATCGGTTCGTTCATATGTATACACAATTATTTCTTGGAATATTGAAAATTTAAAAATCGAATTCGTTTAATTTTAGTGAAGAAGTTTATTTTCATTGCTTGTACGTTTGTTTCTTTTGATAGTTTTATATCATTATATGTAGAAAATTTTTGAAATCCCAAATATAAAATTCAATTTGAAGTATTTTTAAATTAAAAAGGTCTTATTTTTTGAAAGCATTGAAATTATGAAAAAATAATGGGTTTCCATATTTTTTAAATATTTCTAATTGTGCTTCTTATAATATTTAGAGTTATGAAGAAAGAAATTCATTCAATTTAATTCGTTCAAAGAAATGTTTTTTTATGCTGTTCATTTCATAAAATTTGTATTGAATTTATAAGATTTATTACAGAGGCATAAAGAATATTTGGTGAAAATTTCTCCTTCAAAAATTTGCATGAACTACTTGTACGAAATCCTTGTACGATCAGACATTGACAAAAAGCTGTTCTAGTTACATGACACGCGAAACTGAAATTCTGATCGATAAATCGTGACTGCTGTTAGCCAACATATTTATACTAGTCATTTACGAGAATTGCTTTTTATGACGATATTATTGAGTTTCTAACAATAAGAAAAAAATCTTTTTTCAGAGTCAGTTTCAAATATTTGAAAAAACATAGTTTTCTTGATTTATTAAGTTTCAGTCGATATTATTAAGTATCATTCAAGATCTTAAAAATACTTACTCTGGTTTTCTCCTCTATGTTTACTACTTCTCCTCTATGTTATCTGCTCTTTTATAACACTGCAAAATTCTCTAAAACCAATTGTTTTTTCTTTTTCTTTCTTACGTTTCATTCCTTAACTTATTCATTGTTATTCTCAATAAAATGTATATTAAATAGCAGTTAAATAAAACAGTAAATTGCATGTTATAGTTATTGTTAAACTGTGGATATTTATGTAAGATATATATTTTCATATTATGTGCATTCTGAAAATTATTACATATTTCTTATAAATGCATGAATATCTATAATTTAATTATTGTTATTTGAAATAAAGATAGTTTTGATAAAAAAAGATGAGATTCTGAGGATGGAATATTCATACTTTAATAAATACAGAAAATAGGTTAATCAGAGAATTCAAATCATATGTCTCTGAAATTATTTTGCTCTATTTTTGTAGATTGCTATATATTGAATCAATAGAATATTTTGATATAAAAATGTTACAATCAGAAAGAGTCTTTGGGATCTTCCTGTTTTTTAGTTTGAATCCTTGTTAATAGATACTGTGTTCTGTAGATAATAGAGAGAATGAAGTTGCTAATTCGTGTACAAGGAAGTGTTCTGAGAGTTTCTTGCAAGTGCGTGATATTTTTCCACTAGTGCGGGATTTTAGTCGCAGGCAATACATAAGGTATCCAATGTATTTTTAAAATTTGGAATTTTGAAAATCATAGGTTTAAGATTTGACTTAGGATCCAAAGGTTTCGAAAGAGATTCGAAATTCAGGTTTAAGAGTTGAAAAATGAATTGAAAAATTAAAATTTTTGTAAATTGGAAATTCAGAAATTTAGAGTCGAAAATATTCTAAAATATTTTTTGCTACTGTATATCTAGAGCTGAAAAAGCAAATAGAACTTTTAAAGTTAAAAATAGATCGATAATTTGCAAATATCGACGATATCATATTGACATGTTTTTCAAACTGATAATGAAGCCAAGAAAATACATTTTAAATATGAACAACGTTTAAATGTGACTGTCGCAATTGCTCCAGCATGTGATCCCTATGAATGTCATCAATTTCCACATCTGGTGTGCATGTTACAAAACAAAAGATCGATAAATAATGATATAAGTATTCAACGTGTAATAAAGTCTACTGATGTTTTATAAACTTTTTTTTTGTATAGTAACTTAATATTAAAACTTCTATTTTTTTTATTAGCTACTAATTCCAAAGGATGTAGTAGAGTAAGAATTTCAATAGTGTTCTTAAATCAATTTTATCTGACAACGTGTTATTTGATAAGAAAAGAAAAACATTATATATTATTCATAGAATATTATATTATAGTATTATTATATTATCTTATCTATATCGATTTTTCTGTCATCTAGTGGCATGCAGAAATTCTGAAAAAATTGGCGCATTGAAAATAAGGTACCTATAAGTCTTTAATTTTGAAATCTATTTTGCAAGTTTTATATTTAGAATTCATTAAATTTGAAAGTTTCCAATTTTAATCTAATGATAGATTCTAAATTTTTAAATCTAAAACTTATATATATTTTAAATCTAAAACTTATAAATTCTAAACGTAATAAACTCAAGTTCTAAAAAACAAATATCGTTAACAAAAAATTTTAAATAATATAAATAACTAGAATTATAAAATGAAAAGTTGCATGCTTTCATTGCATTTTTATCGTAACATAATATTTTATAAAAATGAAATATTCTGTAGTAGGCAAAACGTGTAAATTTTGCGTAGTGAGATTAACGTGTTAAGGAAAGAATACAGTTTCTGCGTTTCACCATAGTCATCCTCTCATGTGGAACGGTTTCTTCAATTAGCAAACTGCACTGACCTTTGGTACAATTAGTATCATGTGTAGAAAAAAAAAGAGAAAAAAATTTTCTATGAAAATATAGAAACTCTTGCGTCATAGTTTAGAGCAGCTGAATATTCAACTGATTTATTAATTTTGTAATTCTGTTATTAATCTGTATTGAAAGTATAAATTCAGATTATTGAAAAAGATAAAATCTTCTGTGAAAACATAGAAATTATTGTGTTACGCTTTAAAATTGAACATTTAATCGAAGAATCTTTATTAATCATGCAACACTATTATTAACTTATATTTAAATTAAAATAACAAATCATCATAGATTCAAGTTACATGAAAGTGAGAATACCATAATTCTTTGTTAGGAATTGTTTGACCACATTCTGACGCAAGTTCATCAGTGAGCTTCAGATCAGAAACGAACAGTAACTGCAATGAGCTAATTGAACTAATTGCGTTCGTTAGTCGTTGTTCGTAAGCATGGATTCACGTGACACTTACTCTTCTTCTGAATAAAATCATTCCTTACCGACATTATTCGACGACGATGTGCGATGTTATATAAGTCTATTTTTGTTTAGAGGAATAATTATTCAAGGTGGAACAGTTTTTACTTTACAGAAGAAGGAAATCAAAGTGCAAATAAAATTGATGTTTATGACATTGAATATTATACGTATATTATACTTTAATTCAGTCATTTATTTTCATTTTAATTCAAATTCTTTTAATTCTTTTTAAAGAAATTTTATTTAGTCAATTTATTTATTTACAAAATTTTTTAATTTTGTGAAAAACCAAGTTTTGTTATTATGCAAAGGAATGAGTGATAATCTTTTAATATTTCCTTGTAAGATTGGATTTGAAAATTAAAGAAAACTCAAATAAATAGGTTTATTATTATAAATAGATTTATCAGAATTATTATAATATTATAATAGTTATTATCATATATTGTGCAGTTTATAAATGTAATTAAATAAATGAAACCTGAATATTAGCAGTTTAATTATTATATTAGTATAATAGAAGTTCAATTTCAATTAATGTTCCATAATTTATTATGATTTTTTATTACACTTAATAAATATATAGTCATTTATTACACTTAATAAATATATACTGTATAATATATAGTCTATAATAATAATTTATTATGATCTACAACATTTGTTTCGCATTTTTCTTTCTGGAAATTCTTAATTTTTCATGGCATCAAATGTGCAAAATAATAAAGCTGAAAATATCGTTTTCTCAGTGTAAACGAAGAACAAAAAATCTCAAGTTATGTAATTCAATGTAAAGGAAGAATACTCGAATAAAAAAAATCTTAGTAATTAAAATGCATCAGCGAGTAAGGCGCATTACGTAAAACTTGGTGCATTTTCTACTTTTTTAATTTAGAAATTAGACAATTGGTTAATTAGATTAAGCTAATGTTGTACGATTCCAAATTAATTACATAATCGTTTGGATAAAGAAATTTCCAAATAGTGGAACATTATTATTATTAATAATAATAATAATAATGCATTCATTTTATTATTTATTCTGTTATATATATAATATATATATATATAATATAAAAATAAAGATAATTTTACTTATATATTTTTTTAAAAAATATATTAAACATTTTTATTTCTATTTAAAATTTATCTAATTAAAAAGTATTTAATTTATCTATTTGATCTTGTTATAAATATATATTTTTTATAAAACAATTCTCTTTATATTCTTTAAATATTTGTTATGACATTCTATGAGATAGAAAAACGATTTTTTTGTTATTTTATACACTTAACATATTATTAATTTTCAATATGTTTTCCATACTTTGAATTTTTATTTCTCTTTATGTTTTTTATACTATTATATGAAAAATATTAAAATGTTAAAGTGAGATTATAAATTTGATTAAGTATTATAGTTGTACTTATTAGAAACATGTATTTGAATTTTTTGCTCTTGAAATCTCCTTGTAGTTTAGTATTCTTGTGCTCTTTTTTTTTAGATTCTTTTTCTATTTCTAAAACTTGTGAAGATTTACCAGTACTTGTTTTTCTGCCGTCTTGAACTTATTACTTTTTCTATTATTTTTGTATAATATCCATTTTTTTATAGTCCTTGTAATAGATTAACTTATTTCTCATTATTAGTCCGAGATAAACATTAATTGTTAGCAGAAACAAAAAAATATATCAAGGAAAAAGAAGAACTCACAACTGAAACATTATTAATATTAGCTAATTTGACAATCAAAGAGTATCAATGGACTGTAAATAGCTGCCTAAAGTAACATCAGATACATAACACATTAATCGCAGAAAAATCAAAAGACTCGAAGCAAAGAAAATTATATTCAAATTACTCTTAGAAAGGATCCTTGATTATCAATCCATTCCATTAACCTCGATACATGTGATATGAAATAGCACTGTGGATAAATATTTCGTAGTAGCATCATAAATGTTCTCGGGCGATCAATTATAGATTTTTTTCTCTCGTTAAGCGGATAAACAACAAATGTGTGGACAAACGAGTTCAATAGTAATTAACCTAGGATATTTTATTCAGTAACTATTGCTATCCATCAATAATGGCCAATTGGTTCGATTTGAATCCACAATTGGCATGATCGAGCAATTATATTGCAACTTGCAATAAATTATTTTCTTTTTATTTATTTTCATTGGTTGGTGTTCTATCGTTCATTTCTTGATGACATAAATTTTTCAGTGCAGAGTCATAATGACTTTTTGAAATTCGTTTTCTATTTCAAGTAGGTAATTGAATGATAACAAGGTAATTGTCTCAAGATAGAAGATGTTTGTATAACAAGATAGACAAAAATATAAATTTCTTTCCAAAAAATTTTAAATTAAAGCTGTAATTTAGAAATTTGAAACTGGCAAAATTTCCACCATACAACTACATACATACAAAAGTATAAAGTGAAAGTTTTTGATTTGACGCTTCGTTTTTATGAAAATCAGATTTGAAAATTTGTCAATTTCTAAATTAGACTAATTTTGAATTGAATAAAAGTAAATAATCAACAGGAGATTATTCTATCTGTGGAAATAAATGAAAAATAAAAAATAAAATGTTTTCATAGGACATTTTGTTCCCGAGAAAATTAAATTTCAAAATTGATTATGTATACGTAATCCACACGTATCAAAGCAATATTTAAATTCTATTTTCTTAGAAATAAATCTTTAAATTAAGAAACATAGATTTATAAATTGAGAAATTTATTGTCTTTTACTTATTCAAGTACGAAATTAAATTCAACTATACTTGAAAAAATATTCAAACATGATTTTTTCGAAAACGAAATGTTAAACGAAAAAATGTTTTTTTTTTTTTTTTTTTTGAGTTATCATTAAAGAGAATTATCTTTTTGGTTATAACGTGAAAATTCTTTAATAATAATTTTTTCTTTAAGCTATTTCCTTCCAGGTGAAAGATTTTTAATATTTTTTAAATAATTTTTCAAATTAAATAAAAGAAGGAAAAGAGATTTAATAATCTTTTTTTTCTTTTTAGAAAATCATGAACGATTCTGAAAAAACCTATGATAAGAATTACGAACACTTTTATTTTGAGAATAAAATAACAAAAATTAAATTGTTAATAAGTCGTCTGTGATGGAAATTTCCATAAAACAAATTTAATTTCTTGTAACGGTTCATATTCCCGGAATTGGATCTGCGTAATATGTTAAAAATAAATCTGAACTTTATTCTTGATGGTCGATGTTTTTGGCGCAGTTAATAGATTAAATTGCTCCCGTTGTTTGACAACTACTCTGTTCGTAATTCGTAACCGCATTATTTGATATATCAATACGGGAAAGATCACTTAATAAGATCATTGCCTTTTAATATTATTCATTCTTTTAGCTTATTTTATCTCTAAAATACAGATATTCTTAAAACGTTTCCTATCTATTTTCTATCTTCTAAATTTCATTAATAATTTAATTTATCTAAAATTTTTAAATTTACTATTAACTTTACTATTTTTTTTATTTCTCCAATTCTATCAATTTTTCTTCATTTCCTAAAAATGTTCGTCCTATCGAAGAAGTAGAATTATAACTTTTTTTTTGGATAAAATTTCATTTTTAATCTTCGATAAGTACATGGTTAACAAAAATGTTGTACGAATAGTATAAATAACATCAGGTTATGTTTTCAGACGAACGAAATCGCGAGGAGAAGAATGACGAAAGATCGATGAACTTTGTTGTGACGTCGGAACAATTTCGTACTGTCAACAGAAACAAAATCTGAAAGCTTGTAGAGGAAAACACAGTGAATCATGTCGCAATCGAGACGTCCCAGTATTTCCATCCACGATTATCCGGAACATTTGAATCCGTTCAGCGATGACATCACCAGTACGCAGCCTTACTTTTACCGCGATGCAAAGACAAAGGATTCGAAACACAAGTTCTGGACATTTGGTAGAAGCAGGAAGAAAAGGTCGAATAGCTTCTCCATCAAAAGTACATGGTAATATTACATTTTAATTTTAAATAATATAGTTAACAAATTTTTCTGAATGTGTGTAAGTTTCTTTTTTCTAATCTTTTTTCTATTATAAAAATATATATCTTGAAAAGCTAATTTGACAAAGTGGAGGAAAACATTCACTTTTTTTTTTTTTAATATGAGAATTTTATTACCTTTAATATGTTTTTATATAAGAAATAGACATTAATTTTATGAAGAATTTAGTGACTGCAAAAATAAAAATTTTTATATTAGTTATGTCGAATGATTTAGTAACTATTGTTAATTATTGTATTTTGTATATTATTTTTAAAGTTCGTAAGGTATTAAAATGGTTTAACTGACCTTTTTGGCATTGAAGTTTATGTTGCCTTAGAAAGTAGACTTCAGAGTATTTTTTATTTCTACTTCTACTGATTTCTAATAGTTATCCTCAAATTTTTCAAATGAACAAGAAATAACATTAATCAGTATACAGTGTATGCAATTCCAAAATAATTCCAAAAATATTGTAGCAAGAATTAATAAAATATGAGTCTGAATTTATATATAAATACACAATAGAACACAATAGAATTTTTTAAAGACACTACAAGAATCATTTAATTTAATTTAATTTTATTATTCAAAAATTATACTACATATTGCAGACCTTCAATTAAGTAAATTCATTTTTCATTTAAGTAAATTAAATAAATTTATTTTGCAACAATGTATTAAATTTAAATATAGATTGGAAAAGATTCCATCAGAAGTTTGTTGAACTTGAACTTAGAAGCACTGTACACAAAATACACGCATCAGTCAGTACGTGATTAAGTATCTGCATTTGGCTGTTATCCAAACAATATAAATAAAGAAGGAATTTAACATAGCAGACGATCGACGTCAAGTCATCTTCCGTTCAAAAGGTCTTTGCAATTTCTATTTGAGACATTTTGACGCGTGCCTTTCCTGCGCAATTGTATGCTCGCATATTGTCATTTAATTTTTCTTCACACACAATTTCTCTTCGCTTTAAAAACATTTTTTAGTCTTTTTTAATTCTCCATAATAATTCTCCTCTTTTTGTAATCTATGGAAACTGGAATATTAATTTTAATTAGTACGATAATTTTATTTGCCAGGTTGTCTGGTTACAAAATTTTATAATATTGATGAAATAAATTTTTCCAATTGATATTCTTTAACTATCAATCTAGTGAAACTTAAAATGATAGTACATTGAACCTTAGACTGTAAATTTACTTTAAAGTTAAAGATAAAAAGAATAGAAAGTTCAATATTTCTTATGTTTTTTTTATATATTAATTTACAGTTTATGATATCACGTGAAAAATTCTATAGCTTATCGAGGCCACTGATCTTCTGCAATTTTTCTTAAGTTTCTCAATCTCAACGTTATTACACAATATTATTATCTTAACTTATAACAATATTATTATCTTAATTTTATTTTTATGAAAACTGCTGCAACATTAGATATCGATCTAGTGTGTTTTTGTGAATTTTGTTAATCTATATTCTCGATCTAATCCAATTTTATGATTCATGCACTGGAGAAAGTGTGTACTGTGAAAGTGAATATGCTTTTTATGTTTAATCTAAAATATATATAGGTATTTCCTACATTTCTTTTTGAGCGAGAATTATTAATAAGGAAAATAATTGTTTATGTTTCAAATATTCTGCAAAGAAAAGTAATTTAATTTTAAAAAATTTTTAACTATTTATTAACAGAAAATTAAAATTGATCTTAGTTTTAATTATAATTATTTTATCATCGAATATATCAAGAGTTGAAATTAATATACATATTTCGATCACAATTTCTGTATATTTAAAAATTTCTGTAATATCTACAAATAATATAAATTAATTTAAATGTGAATTTGAGGAGAAATATTATAAGAAAAAAAAATAACTCAGAAAGTCTTTTTATAAAGACTTATATTATGAACGTAAAATGAACGTGAAATGAAAATTATATTACGAATATAATCTATTAAAAGATTAAAAATTTAATTACAATTTTTTATTAAAAGCTTAACACTTTTTATTTTATAGCCCTTTTGGTCATAATAATTGTAATCCAACTATAATTCTGATCACAACTGTTTTATTATTAAGGAATTAGAATTAATATATTTTTATTCTAATCGTAATATTAGATAATATTGAATATTGTGTGTTAATATTTGATCAATTTATCTGCGTGAAAAAGTCAGGAAAAGACGCGTCTCAAGACCTCCTTACCAAAGATAAGTTTGCCACTGACTCACAGAATTTTCGATAATAGCATGATCAGCTTTTACATAAACTATTAATCATTTACGTAACGAGTATCAGCAATGTACTTAAGTAATAAATCATGAAACGTTATCGTTTGTAATATTAATTTTTCGATTTTCTTTTAAAGATAGGTCAGTCTTTTCTTCAATACATTCAGTGCCTTTTCTTGTAGATTTGTTCTGTTGGATTTTCCAATGGAATATTCTTGATGAAATCCTGATTCTAATTACGATACGATACTTCTTACCTATTTACATTTAAAAGAAAGAGTTCACGTCTGATATATTTAATATACATTACTACTAATATATTTAATATACATTATATAATATATTATATATACATATATATAATTACATAATATATATAATATTATATAATATACATTAATTAGTAGCGTAATAATTAACGCTCTGATTTTGACGAATATTTAGTTGTAATTACATTATTCAGAATCATTAGATCATATTTTTTAGAAAATTTTATTTTTCAATAAAAAATTATGTTGTACACCTCTACTTAATAGTCTTATTGTTAGGATACGTTTTACTTTTATTAATGTTTCAACAATTCCAAATTATTAACTTTAAATTATATAAATTTTAATTACCTTCATGTATAATATATATAAAAAATTATTTAATTCTTATAAATTTTGACTATCCTTTAGACTTTCGAGCGGATGTATACAATGTTGTAAATTCAAATTTGAATTGGCTGAAACTTGAAAAATTTTTATAAAATTGAATATTATTTTATTTGGAGGGACGTTAAAATATCGGAATTAATTTTAAAAAAATCAAAGTTTCGAAGTTTTAGCATTTAAAAATATTCTGCTTTTATTGAACACACATTCACTTCTCTTTCAGTATTCACAAGAAGACAAAATCATTGATTTTACTTCATTTTTAATAGAGAAAATATGTCCAGTATTTTCATTTTAATCGTAATATTTCAGAGAAATGAGTTACGTATATCTAAATGTTTACTTTAGTTTAAGGGGAGATTCTCACGTAACAGGAAAAAATAACGTTGAAAAATATCGATATTTTTTTTTTTACATATAATTTCAAAAACAAGTTCCCAAAGTTTTGTAATGAAATTCGCAGAAATAACGAAATTAGAGATCATTTGGTCTCGGAGATTGGCGATAAGTGAGTAACGGCTAATTGTAAGATGCAACAACGAAATCATTATCTATCTGTGAAGACTATCTACAATGGTTTTCGATGATTAGCAAATGCAGAGATTGATCTTAATACTGTTTCAATAGTTAATGAGATCGAACCGCCAGAAAATACAAAGTCATAAATTTATTTACAGAATTTAGACTGTAAGTATCTTGAGCGTAACTTCAAGCGCGATTTTTTTCGAAACCATGTTTCTCAAACTGATATGCACTATAACTCAATGACTAACTCTAGAAATTATATATTGTATCTGTATTGTATTTTTTTATTTATATTTATTTTTATTATAATCTCTTATTTATCTATTAAAAATAGTTAATTGAAATCATATAATTAATCTAATGTTTTATAATTTTTATTAAAAATAGGTATGAACTCGACACAAATTATCTAACTTTAGGAAAATTTTTCACTTTTTAGGTTCTGATAATTGAAATAAATGCTACACTACACATCAACAACGGTCTTATCGTCAAAGAGAATAGAAAATAATTGTGTACAATTCGGTATGACAATGAACAAGGTTAAACAAAACAATTCTTTTTCATTTATGAATGCCTCTTTTGTACTCACAATATATTATTTTTTATTGTCAATAATTTAAAAAAAAAATTTAGAAAAATCATTCAGTTTTATTGCTATTACACGAGTATCCCACCTTGATTGAATTCAATCTCGTATAAAGCTCTACCGAAATAAGTTTCTATTTATTCAAATTAAATGTAACAGTACAATAAACAGTTTCTTGCATACTCTTATTGAATTGATTGTAAGAGAAAATTTTATCCACCGACTCTTTGTTCATCACACCAAAGTTGTCCTTGACCGTAAAATTGACTCTCGAAACAGTTTTTGAATTTATCTGTTCTAAGAAATGAACCGTGGAAGACAAATATACATCTCTTCATGTTTAAATGACTTGAGAAACTGAAACTTACCGAAAAATGTTTTCTTTACCAACGATTTTAAGTTTTATTTGTTAAAGCCAACAAAGATTCTAATAATAAAATAATGTATAAAAATTGCATAAAGTAATTAGTATTAAGTAATAAAATATAAACATTATTATGAAAACATTATTACTGTAACATTCGATAATTGAAAAAGGGTGATAGATTTGTTAATATTAAAAACTGTTCATTTCGCTTAGAATGTATCCTAGCCAGTATTCCAATAATAATAATAACAATAATATCTGCCGTTTTTCCACGGCTCGCCAGAGTTGTTCTCAAACCTTGAGATCGCTTGGTGGGTATTGAGCGTCCTTTCGTCGCGTAGGTGTGCTGGATATGACACCTTACTATTATAAAATACAAGTCTTTGTTTCGTCAAAATTACAAAAAATACAAATAAAATTACAAAAAATATATTAAAATAATAAATACGTTACAGAAACTCCTTATAGAAATTAAATACAAAAAGAATCTAAAAGAATTTATATTATTTGAATTAAATTAAGGCAGCAAAATTGTTAGTCCATTTGATCGGATCATTTCAGACGCATTCTGGATCGTTAAA